CTAGCCTCAGCCTGAAAAAAGAAGGTATTGCTGATTTTCAAGAAGGCACCAGGATCCTCGCAGTAACCCTGTCTCTAATACACTTCTTATCACTGTGGTAATAGAGTGATTTCTGTGACATCATATAGGATATAGGTGGCTTGTATGTTTTCAGTCTTCTTAGAGACCCTCCCAATTTTGCTCCACTTTTTGTTCTAATTTTTCACTGACTTCTACAGAAGGTCTGGGGTTTATACGTCAATTACTGTAAGGCCTTCACTATTTCTAAGCTTTTAAGAATCAAAACAGCTGTGTGTGTGTGAGCATATCTTTCTCCTGGTTCTACTACCACCTTGACAAAGTTTAACTCTTATTTCCAAGGAGAGTGCTCTCATAATGATAATCAGTCCCTTATCAAACTTTATTTACAGGCCCAGAACATGCAGGGGGATCTGTGATTTGAGATTCACAAGTGCTTTAATTCAGGGATCCCCATGCCATATTTCAAGTTTAAATTCTATTGAAACAGTCCTCTGACAGTGGCATATCTGACTTAAATTAATAAAATGTTAATATTATTTGGAGCTTTGCTTCTTTTCCAATTAAGTCCTAGGTTCAATTCACAGCTTTTAGTACCATATAGTTGAGGTGTAAAAATTTTTATATGCTACTGAAGAGGCCCTCTGGCTATTACACTTCACCTAAATGGGTGAAATAGCCCTCAGCCCTTCACTGTCTTTCTCCAATGCACTTACTGTCCCCATAACAATTATCAAATGTCATCCTTATTGTAATTACTACTTTCCCTATACATCTCAACATCCTGATATGTTGTACCCATTAGTGAATTAACCTCCACTTGTATCATTCTAGTTTACCACCTTATCATTCATGAAATCTAACAATGATATTGCCACAGCATAGCAGTACCTATCTATATTCATTCTATTACCAGTAATGTGGACCTCATTGCCAACTGGTGTTGGATGGTCCAATTGTGCAATTACGTATCAGTGCTGTGTTCTCAGGACCCTGAAGAATGAAATATCTTAGGTAGGTGTTCCTGAAAATGCTGTTTTGTATGTAGCAGGTTTTATGGAAAGGGCTCCCAGGAAGAAGAGTTTTGAGATAGCAACTGGAGCAGAATTGGTCAGAGATGTGGAGCTATGATGTGGTTGCTGTAGCCTCAGTCAATCTCAAAGAGAGTGGTGAAGCTAGAATGGCCCTTTAGAAATGTCCCTCACAGAGGCAAGAGGAACAGGTTATGTATTCCCTTTTTGAGCAGATAAAAACCTGTGAGAGATGGCTACCTTCAGCACAGTAAGCGTAGGTCATCAATTCTCAATATTTCTAGCAACAGGGGTATTTAACAGAAGACCGAAATTGTGCACTATACCAGGCACTATAAGGATAAAAATTAAAGAATCAACTACTGTAAGTTATCATAATGTCTTTGAAGGAGAATTAGAGTATGCTATCACTGCACAGTTTTTCTCTTTAACCAAATCTGGGGGCAAGGGAATTCTTTTGAGAGAAAAACAGGTTTATGTTGAAGACCTATAACCAGTGTTTCCTAAGACATAGCGAAAAGATCATATGTTACAGATTCAATGAAATGGTTTAAAACATTGATTGGATTATTTATACTCAGGCAAATACTCTATTATTTTGTAACCACTAATATAACACAGTCAGCTACACAAAAACCCTGCATGCATTTTGATTTCCAATAAAATACATTTGGATATAGGACTCTGATTTTTAATAATTCTTATAAGTTCAATATATCCTAATTAGTGTTGCCATAAGAATCAGTCAGCATAGTTAGGGAGCTCCATAAATACTGAGCAACATTGGTGTAGATTGATATAACTCTTTTGGTATTGGCTTGTGAAATACAATCTCATTATTTTTAATTACATCTCAAATTTCACCAGAAATTGGGCAAATATACTTTGATTGTTGGGTAGGGATCTGAATGGCTTTGAGATACTTGCAATTTTAAGTTTCTATTAAAAAGATGAAGACATTGGCCATTGTTGAGGATAATCAAAAGGATGTGACATGGGATCTGAATGAAATTCTTAAAACTTATTGTATCTTTATAATAAAGTAAATGAATCCCAATGTTAATAGTTTGAGACTCCAGTACTCTGGATGGTATTTTTAGTAATAATCCAAAACCATCTCCTTGAAGCAGCTTACTATATTCTCTTTTTTTCACGTACTACCAAAATATCCTCCCATTTTTTTCTGTCAAGATTCTCTAGATTACATTCTGTACTTTTTTATTGCAATAATGGACTTATGGCAGACTGTTGTAAGAACCAGTTAAGTGTGACAGCAGGTGTTAGAGCTTAAGAATGAAACAACTTGTATAGCATTTATAGGAGAATCTATCTATATTTATATAAATAAATGAACACATAAAGTAAGGGGATTTGGCACAGGATATGGTAGGTTTACTTAAATTCTCCTTATGGTCTGTAGCCAATGAAAATAAGTGTGTAACAGTAAGAAGCCCAACATTATTATAATCAGATATCTTTTGTTATTTTCCACATACTGCCCTATCCATCCCCAGTTTCTTCCAAAAAAATGAGTTTCAGTGGTTAAAAGGGTAGAGGAAGGGTAAGTAGAAGGAAGTGTCTCAGTAGGGAATGAGTATAAATCTATCACTAACATGGAATAACTAATCCAATGGTTCAGTGGCATTGTCTTTATATGTGTAAAACAACATATTTCCCCTGACACCATCTTCTGACACTTTAGATACAGTCAGCAGGTTATGGCGGCTATGCTGCCACCAATAAGTGAATTATGGGATCAAGCTGTTAGGAGTGGCTATCATCATTCACTTTGTTCTTCTAATGTCACATTTTTCATTATGTCTTAGGTACACTGCAAAGATGTATTCCACCTCTAACCTTCATGGCACTGAGTATAAATAAATGTGGATTTCAGTAGGTGAAGAACAATATTTCATTGGCAAAAACAGCCTTTCAGTTTTAATGACTAAACTGTTTTGACCAAAAACTGGCCTTTTTTCCTCTACATTTGTAAATGAGAAAGACTATATTACTAGCAGTTATGAATACTAACTTTTAAATCATCCCTCTAAAATATCACCACATATGCAATACACACATATGCATATTACATTTTCTTGAAGATAAAACTATTTTCAAAGTAATTATTACGTTATTTGACTTCTTTCACTTGTTGACATTTGAAATGGTGCAAGATCAATGGTGAGTAAAGTTCCTGGGATCTTAACATGCATGTCAGTAGTTACTCTAAATTGTTCTAGTAGTCCCTGTACTTTTCACTGCCACACACAGTTAAAACAACAGGAAAGCTTGTTCCAACTAAAAGATAGCCTTGTTTAAATAGTAAACAGATTTTATTAAATTATGGCATTTGATTATGTATCTTAATATTCTCCGACAAAATGGTAAGTTTACTTAAAGCATATAGAAATGCCATTATGTTCTTGAGGAAAAACACATGGGAAATTGAGTTGCAAGCTGAACTAGCCACTTTTTTCACTGAATAGAGTTTTTACTGAAAGTCACAATATGATTATTCCAACATGGGTATTTGGCAAATCTAATTTTAAAATATGTATAGTTCATTAATGTTGAGTATAATCTCATTACTCTGGTTGGATTTATTTCTCTAGTTGAGAATGTGTTCTCTGTTTTTCCTCCTATTTACTTAAGGTATTTTTGGTACTCCATTTCAGTTTACCTATTTGTACTTTATAATTCTACCTCATTTTTTTCCTGTACTGTTCTTTAATTTCTTCCATTTTATGTTCAAATTAATGGACTGTTTCTTGTTATCTGTATTAAATTGTTAAGTCCATGTTCCACTGATAAGTCCATTCTGTATTTTTCTTTTAAGTTTTTTTTTACTGTTTTTTTAAACTTACTTGTATAATGTCTACTTTTTATATTTTATAGTTCTCTGCTGAGATTTCCTGTTTTTTTCATTCATTAAAAGCACAATTACCATTTTTTTCTTTGAAAATACTTTCAATAGATTATTTAAAATTTTATTTGGTTAAGATCACCATCAAATTATTTTGCTTTTTTTTCCTTTTGACTATGGCTCGCATTCACTTATTTTTGTGTGTTGTAATTTTAGATTAGACCTTTTACATTGTGAAGAATAGGTGTTAGAGATTCTGAATTGTTATATTCATTTAAAAGTAATTTATTTTTATTTTTTAAATTTATTTATTTTTCTTTAAGTATAGGTGATGCACATTATGTTAGTTTAAGGTGTATAACAGTGATTCAGTAACTCTATACATTATGCTATGCTCACCACAGCTGTAACTACAATCTATCACTGTACAATGCTATCACAATACCATTGACTTTATTTCCTTATGCAGTACTTTTAATCCCTGAGACATATTTATACCATAACTCAAACCTGAAGCTTGTACCTTCCACTCCCTTTGCCCATTTTGTCCATCCCTCTCGCAACCACCAGTTTGTCATCCATATTTATGGGTCTGTTTTTGCTTTGTTTGTTCATTTGTTTTGTTTTTTAGATTCCACATATAAGTGAAATCATATGGTACTTGTCTTTCTCTGACTTATTTCATTTAACATAATACCCTCTAGGTAACTCCATGTTGTTGCAATTGGCAAGATCTCATTTTTTTTGACCAAATAATATTCCAATACACACACACATACACCTTCTTTATCTATTCATCTATCATGGACAATTAGGTTGCTTCCAGAGCATGGCTATTGTAAATAATGCTGCAATAAACATAGGGGTGCATATATCTTTTTGAATTAGCGTTTTCATTTTCTTTGGGTAAATGGTCAGGAGGGGAATTTCTAGATTGTATGATGATATTTCTATTTTTAATTTTTTGAGGAACCCTTATACTATTGTCCATAGTGGCTGTACCAGTTTGCATTCCCACCAACAGTGCAAGAGGGTTTTTTCTCCACATCCTCACTAACACTTGTTATTTCTTGTCTTTTTTATTTTAGCCATTCTGATTGCTATGTGATATGTTACAGAGGTTGTGAGTTGCATTTTGCTGATGGTAAGTGATGTTGAGCATCATTTCATGTGTCGGTTGGCTATCTGTAGGTCTTCTTTGGGGCAAAAAAAAAAAAACCAACTTCAGATCCTCTACCAATTTTTAATCAGATTATTGGTTTTTTTGGGCATTGAGTTGCGTAAGTTCTTTATAATTTTTGGATATTGGTCCCTTATTATATATATATGTATATATATATATATATATCATTTGCAAATATCTTTTCTCATTTAATAGGTTGCCTGTTTATTTCGTTAATGGTTTCCTTTGCAGTGCAACATTTTTCTTTTGTTTGTTGTTGGTGTAGTCCCACTAGTTTATTTTTGCTTTTGTTTCTCTTGCTTGAGGAGACATACCTAGAAAATGGTTTCTAGGGCCGATTTTCCTATCTTTTCTTCTAGGACTTTTATGGTTTCAGGTCTTTCATTTAGGTCCTTAACCAGTTTTGAATTTATTTCTGTACATGGTATAAGAAAGTAGTAAGACTATCACTATTTGCTGATGATATGATACTATACATAAAAAACCCTGAAGTCTTAAACACTATAAATCAACAAAGTTGCCAAATACAAAATTAATGTACAGAAATCTGTTGCATTTCTACACACTCATAACAAAGTATCAGAAAGAGAAGCTAAGAAAACAATTTCATTACAATTTCACCAAAAATATGTAAATAAAATACCTAGGAATAAATTTAATCAAGGATATGAAAGACCTGCACTCTAAAACTGTAAGACATCGATGAAAGAAATTAAAAATGACACAAACAAATGGAAAAGTATTATATGATCTTGGATTGGAAAAAACAATGTTGTTAAAATGTTCATAGTACCCAAAGCAATCTGTAGATTCAATGTAATCCCTAACAAAATACTAACAGCATTTTTCACAAAACGAGAATGATCCTAAAACTGTAGATTCATAAAAGAATCCAAATAGCCAAATGTTTTTATTACAATGTCATATCTTTGGCAACCCCAAGTTAAATTTAAAGTCATCATTGCTAGTTACTGCAGTATGTGAAAGTAGGGTTCTGAAGTGTGAAATGTGTAATAAGATGAGAGATAGAAGTATATGTCAGAAAAAAATTAAGGAAGAAGTGTTCATTGAAACATATGCCATCAACAATGGCAGCACTTCCTTTATATCCAAATTCATGTTTAGTGATAAAGAGGGATAAGAAAGAAAACGTCTCAAATAACTATCATGTGTTAAACTTCACTTTTTTTTTAATTTTACAATAAAATTTAGAACTGGGTTTCATGATGTGTATGCAGAAGAGGAAAGAGACAAGTTGTAAATATTTCCTGAAAAAGTGAAGGTACTAAAATTCAAAGACACTTGCTCTCTTTTCACATTAGTCTCCAAATATTTAATTCTAAGTCTACACTAGACAAATGATTTAAACTATTGGGCTCATTAAATAGGGAATTAAAACTAATTACTTGCTTAACTGATTTTTCACAAAATTGACTGACTCTTGCAGAAAATTCTGCAATGACGATTATGTTTAGTGTGATTTACATAATAGGTGCAGATATTATGTGTTTACAAAATCATGATTATAACTAACATGTAATTAAGATATACTGCAATCATCAAACAAAAATTCTGAGCAACAAACATGAGTGTGCATGTACTATTATTTGCAAAACAATAGAAATTGATAATGTAGCAGAATTATACTGAATGTGATCTAATCTTTTTGATTATGCCAAAAGTACTTCATGATATTGCAATGATTCAAAGTCTTCAACATGAATATTAATTACATTATGATGGCAAAACAAGAAAAATGACAACTAATTGTCTCCTGCTAATAAAATGACAAATAAGCTAATTTTCTATTTTACCCAAATAGTGTCTAGTTAAGTTCAAAGCTCTCCACAATATAGATTCTTAAAATATCTTTGTTAATGTGACTTAGAATCATTAGCTCTTATCCTCTTTCCCTCCCACTTGCCTTATAATCAGCTTATGCTGTACAGAAGTAAAGGGAAAATTTTGATCATCTGAACTCCTGGGAGATCTACTTGAAATTTGCTTCACAGCATAGTGTGCCCATCTCTTGTCACTTCCAGCCGTGCTCAAGGAGTGCTCCTTTTTTCCCACCTGAAACTCTATAGTATCACTTCAGAAGGCTGAAAACTGTAAATAACTCTTATACTTTGAGACTGTTAAAAATTAAATATAAGAGGAAGTCATCAAAAATTAAAATCTTCCAAATAAAGGTCTTTTGTGAAAAGATCTTTAACTCCTAAGCTATCTTTAATGCCTTAAAATGGTGAGACGATACTAAACATATTTATGAACAGCTACAGTAAGTCCCAAGAGAACCTCAGATCCTCAATGCCTTCATACTAGGAATATTCATCTTTTCCATATATATATATATATATATGAATATCAGTTCTTGGGACTTTTAAGGCTACTTCTCCCCAATTTTTTCCATTAAATATATCACCTGCAATATACATAAAACTGCATCCTCTAACATTTATAACCATAGACATCAAAGGATTTGGTTAAATGTTTAGCCAATGGCTCTCAATTTTATTATTTTCTTTATGGGGAAATGGGAGGAGGTAGGTACTATATTCTTTCAAACACAACACATTTTTCACCTATCCAGTAAAGGTTTGGATTCTATCACTCTGATGTTTTCCTGGTATTTCCCCAAGCCTCTATATACAAATGGATGTTCAATTTTTGGTATAAATAAAACATTATACATGTTTATATGGATCCAAATGAGAGGCTGTCTTAGTTTCATCACCAAATGCTTCAGCTCGTTATTTCTTCCTTTTTGCCCAATTAAAATCTATCGTAAGAGATGTGATACATGCACATTTAAAAAAATCTCACACAATGTCACTAATGATTTTAAAGTATAGAACTGATCATACCAGTTGTCTAAAACTAAAACCATGTAGCAAAGCTAAACTGCCTTACCGGGATAGTATTTTCTACCTAGTTTATTCTGATACAAAATCTATCATGGCATAGCTTTATAAACATTGTATTCCCAATTTTGAGTTCAAATAGGTTATGGAAAGAGTCATTTCAGCAAAAGCATATGTTTAAAGATTCATCATGTTAATATTGGCTATCCATATAGTACAAAGAGTGCAAATTAATAAATGTGTCATAAATGCTTTATACTCATTCTGTTGGACAGTGTTGGGGGAACATATATGCATTTAGCAAGGAATAGTTTGTTTTAAAACTACTAGAAGAAAATAAGACAGAAGAAATGTTCTCATTCATTACCTAGTAGCAAATTTCAGTGATGAAAAAAATCACAAGACATATGAATAACAAATTAATTCATTTCAATGAGCAATTTATTAATATCTAATGAATTTGTAATAATGGAACAGCCAGTAGTTATATACCCAAAAGAGGAGTCAGCAATGCATTTTCACTTTTCAGCTTTCCCCACAATATTTAGAAACGGATTCTGTTATGAAATATAGCTTACAACTCAAATCTAACTTATTTCATAGTAACAGTACATGCATGTGGCTCCCAGAAAACCCAAAGTTCCTTGTGTTCAAATCATAAATTTTCTAATCAGGCAGATAATTGCTTTGAAAAGTGTTAAAAACAAGTTCTCTGTGTTTAAATATTGCTATCCACTTTGTTTCAATGAATGTATTGATTCTTGATCAATAGGAAATATTTAGATGAGGAACTTACAATATGCCAAATGTTTGGGAGACTATCACTCCCCATCTATCATTACCAGGCCTTTATATCTATACAAAATTTTTAACTTATTGTTTATGTAATTATGGCACTCTTATTGACAATTTAGAATTTTTAAAAAGTGCAAACATAAAATGTTGCATATACATTTGCAGAGTTTCACTTCCCAGTAGTTTTGATACAGTTCAGAAATGCCTTGCTAACTTTTCTTAGTGCATTCAAAATTGTATTTTGCCCACACGTATTTATTTTACTTCAGTTTTTGTAAACAAGTATGGAAAAAATACAGGATGCATTAATTTCTTATTTGGAAGACTTTCATTATTTTAGATCATTTTGTTTTCATTTTATTTGTCCAAGTAATTTGACTTGCAACTTGCAAAATCAAGTACAAATTTCACTGCATCTGACCCTCTCATATCCTTCTCTTCTATCATAGCAATCAACTTATACAAGTTCCAACTTTCTCTAACTGATATTTCTCATCATCTTTCAAAAATGATCTAAAACATCCCATCTTAAAAGACACTACCAAAATATGGCTTCTATATTCTGTGTTCTTTTCATCATGGTAAGTACTACCTTTGCTGAAGCCATCACTAACTCCCCCAAATTTAATTTATCTTGTATATAATTTATATTATCATTTTAAATTTTTCTAATACACCTCCACTTCATTTATTTCACACAGGAACATTTCTTTCGTTTTAAAGAGGATCTTTAAAAAATTCAAAGCGGGGCATCAAATCAAATCTTGAGATTAATACTACTAATGCACAATTTCTTTGGTCGCTGTCCCATAGTATCCATCAAATAGTTGGACAATGAGGAAAATCTCTGAATTTCAAGGATGAATGTAATGAAAACACAAAATACATTATCTATGCAAAATAAAGCAAGAAAAAAAGTTATGTCAGAAACAAAAGATATAATACTATAACTGAATGTGGTATTCAAAGTGAAATTTGTGATGAAGATAGTTTTTTTTTTTGAAGAAAATAATGGCGAAACAAGGAAAGGATTCTATTAAGTTGCCGTTCATTCTGGAACATGAGGACAGGGTGGTAATAAAATGAAACGGCAGAGAAAAAAATAAAAATAAAAAAATTATTGGCTTGCATACTTTTCATAGGAAAACAGTGTAGAACATAAAACTTAAAAAATAGTGAGAAATGAGAGAAACACAAAATAGAAAAAGATTCAATATATTAAAAATTAAGTCTAAACAAGAGATAAAACAAATGGAAGATAAATGCTTTCAAAATGTAATTTAATGAAACTACATTGAGAAG